TAGATGCTTTTCCATTATGACAAAGGTATATACCAGGCAGGACGCCTCCCCTGGACCCGTGTCTCCAACCACAGCCTCCTCAACCTGCCACTACTGAGCATCTCTGAACACGTCCCAGCTTGAAGTCCCGATCTTCCCCTAATCCCAAACTTGCTCTACCTGCAATGAGATTCCAAGAAGCTAACCCTGAGACAAGGATTCATGTACCTGAGTGACTTATTAAATTTGGAAGGGCTCCCAGGAGGAACTGGTGAGGGAGTGGAGAAGCAAGATAAAGAGGGCAAGAAGCCAAGCAAGGGTGTGATTTCAGACCAAGTCCCTGGAGGGTAGCTTCAGCCTGATCCAGCAGGGGATGCTGGATGTAAGCTACCCCTGGGAGTTTGGTGGGAGGCGGGCCGGCGCTCAGCTTCCACATTCCAGCACCACTTGGTCATTGGCTAAGGGCTGGGAAAGTGAACTCCTGGGCACTTCCTTGCAAGGGCAAAGGGACCCCAGTAGCTGATGGGCAAGCCTCTGGCCCTTCACATGTACAGGCTGCTGGGAGAATCAGCACACAGAAGCCAAACAAGGGGAGTTCAGAAACCAACAAAGGGATCCCAGGGGATCTGAGCAGTGCCCTGACAGTGTCCACTACATGTGCCTTACCCATGTCAGGAAATGGTATTGCCATCCTGCTGGTTACTCAGGCCCCAAACCCTGGAGTCATCCTTGATCTGCTCTGTCTCACACCCCCATCCAATCCTTTAGCCAATCTCGTTGGCAATACCTTCAAAATATACCCAGAGTCTGATCACTTTTTTAAAATAACTTTTAAAAATTGTGGTAAAGTCCACATAACATACAGTTCAGTGGCATAAAGTACATTCACATTTTTGTGCAACCATCACCATCACCCATCCACAGAACTCTTTCCATCTTGCAAAACTGAAACTCTGTACCTATTAAGCGTTTTGTTTATCCATTCATTTGTCAGTGGACACTTGGGTTGCTTCCACCTCTTGACTGTTGTGAATAATGCTGCTATGAACATAGATGTATTATACAAATATCTGTTAGAGTCCCTACACTCAATTCTTTTGGGTATATACCTAGAAATGGAATTGCTGGGTCATATGGCAATTCTATTTTTAATTTGTTTTAGTAGCTGTTTTACTGTTTTCCATAGTGGCTGCACCAGTTGACATTCCCACCGACAGTGCACAAGTGTTTCAACGTCTGCACATCCTCACCAACACTTTTTATTTTGTTTGTTTTAGTCTGATCATTTCTTACCCCTTCCACAATGACCACCCTGAACCAAGCCATTTCAGTTTTTGCCTGGCTTATTGCAGTGGGATCCCAACTGACCTCACTGTTTCTGCCCTCATCTCCTGTAGTCTTCTCAACACCATTCCTCTACTCACAGCCTCCAGTGCCTTCCTCCCCTCCTGCTCAGGGTAAAAGGCAAAGTTTTTACAATAGCCTATGAGGCTGTACAAGATTTGTTCCTCACCCTCCCAAATCTGACTCATTTCCTACTTGCTCACTCCACTCCAGCCACATTGCCTTTTTTTTTTTTTTTCTCCTGTCCCAAGTAATCTACTGTCTCAGGGCCTTTGCCTTATTTTCTCTGCTTGGAATACTCCTTCTTCAGATATGCTTAATGTAATTTTCTCCCTCACTTCCTTCAGGTTTTATTCATTTCTCAAGGAGGCCTCTGGGCTTTCCCCATTGTTCATCAGCCCTTCCTCCATTTTCTGCCTTTCTCCTCTCTGCCCTGTGCCTGGGAAGATGACCCCTACAAACACCACCACCTGGGCTTTCTTGCCCTCAGGCTTCTGGGTGGGTTTGGTCCATGGCAGGCAATGCCAGAAGATGAAGGGTGAAAGGAGAGAGATGTTGAGTTATTTCCCCCCCCACATCCTTCCTGCTCTGCTCTGGGCAGTGGCCTGTCCCTCCTGGACCACAGCTGCATTTGGGAGGGGTGGTCCTCCGCTTCAGCTCTCCAGCTCCCCCTCCCCTCCAACCCCCCACTCCCAATGATACTGTTTCCTCCCTTTGCCCTCCAGTCCTCCAAGTTGTAACTGCTTCTCTGCTTGCTGCTGATCTCCGGACCTCCTACACCCCTGTTGGTTCCTGAACCCTGCCTATTCCTCTAGTCGCTTCACTAAGACTAGAACCATCCGTGCTGGATTCTGTTTCCCACTAGACACTGACCTAAACACCTTCTAGATTATGTTATTTACAGTTTCCAGCCTACCTTCTGTTCTGTGAATTGGCACTTCCCATTCTGTTCTTCTGCATAGTACACATTATCTAACATGCTATATAGTTACTTATTTAGTTTCCTTGAACCCTCACACTCTGTGATGGACGGTCCAAGGATGCAGGGATGTTTGCTTCGTTCACTGTTGTATCTCCAGTGCTTGGCACACAACAGGCTATCAGCAAATATCTCTTAAATGAATGAATGAACGGCCGACCGACTAAGGGAGCTGCAGAGAAGACAGCGGTGTGGTCCAAGGTGCAGGCAGAAGAGCTGACTCTCAATTTCTCCTCTCCCCTCCCCGCCCCCGCCCGGAATGCTGAGTGCCCTGGAAGGAGGCGGAAATGAGCGTGTTCAACTGCCCTCCAGCCAGGTGTTTACTTAATTAGGACCTGTATCCCGACGCACGTTGATGTTTAACTGTCCGCCTAATGACTGCATTTGGTTCCCGGCGGGCGCAAAGGAACCTGCGGGGCGAGGATAGGCGGGGCCACCAGGTGCTGTCTGGGGCCGGCGCAGCCTCGAAAAGCCTCTGCGCGGGTATCTAACCTCCCCTCGGGCACGGAAAGCGCCCCCTGCGGGAGAGCGAGGCGAGGGGGTTGGAGCTCAGTTAGCAGCCTCGGGCTTCTCCTGCGCGTCGTGCATCCCCAACCCCCAGCTGCCGGGACCACAGGCGGGATAACAGAGCGCTCCCCTGATACCAGATGCCAATTGCTCGCTTTACCATCAGCCGTGAAATTGAAGGATTACAGCGTTTCTCATTCTCTTAGTTTGGGGAACGTGAGGGTGCTATAGAGGAAAGAACCGGCTCGTGAGGCGGAGGACAAATGAGCTGGATCCTAAAGCAATAATACCAGGCAACATTTGGGCGCTTGCTCTGTGCCAAGTGCTGAGTTTAGCGTTTTAAACGTGCTAATTCAATCCTCTTCTATATGTATTAATTCATTCAATCCTAGTACTTTATAGAGGGCAGATATCATAATAGCCCCCACTAGATGCATGCGGAACTGAGGCTCAGAGGGGTTATTTCGCTAGCCTGAGGTCACAGCGCTAATAAGTGATGGAATCCGGGTTTGAACGCAGGCGGTGCGGCCCCAGAGCCCATGGTCGGCTAGAGAGAGGACTCCCACGATCGCAAGGCAAACTGTCCTCTTAGCCGCAGGCCTGGTGGTGGGAAGGACAGGCAGGCTTCCAGGCTAGCCCTTGAGAGCCAAAAACTCTATAATTAGAGACTCTAGTCTCCTCCTCAAACCCCTAAATCTGAGATGGGTAGGAGGAAGGAACGTGTTGAGGAGTCAGCCTGAGATTCTCAAGACAGCTAGGGAAGGTGGGGAGGCCTCAGGGAACAGGAGGTTGTGACTGGCTGGGAAAACTCATTTCGGTGGGGAGAGGGCGTGCAGTGTGGAGCGACTGAGTTTCAGGACTGTTTCAGGGCCCGGGGCCCACTTGCGTGCCGCCACGGGTAAAGCACTTCGGGTCTGAAGTAGAGGAACGAATCTCAGCTCCGTCGCATGTCCCCCAGTAAGGATACAGAAGAGCTGCTTCGTAGGGAGACTCACTGGAAGGCTGCTTCTCGCAGCCAGCAGTTTTTACTTAGATTATAGTAGGTATTTTAGACCAATAAAAACAGTCGCGATTTTCAAAATGCCTTTATTTGCATTTTACAAAACTTGAGACGTTGTTAATTATTTATATCCTACGTGGGGGGTGGGAAGCTTGCTGGAGGTGATAGGGCTAATAACCACCCCTCTACCTCGCACCTTTTGGCGTCACCACGGCTTCGATCTCTGGGATCTTCTCTCCCAGCCTCCTTTTGTTCGGCTGTGTCAGGGAAGTAATGAGTTTTCCGCAAGTTGTAGCAGATTCTGTAACACCGTCCCTCGGGACCTCACTGCCAGTTTTAAACACTCGGAGTCCTGGGGGCAGGCTGATGTGGGAGGTGGGGAAAGAGGCAGGAGGTACCCGCCCGCCCCCCGCTGTAGCCGGGTGTGGGGCGGACACACCCGGCCTCCATCAAAGCCTTGGATAACAGAGAGCCTCGGGGGAGCATGAATGGGGCGCCTTTGTTTCCAGTCGGGTTCAGATGCATCTCCACTTTCTTTTCCACAAGGCACAGAAACAATTTTCTTCGTGTGCAGCGGGGAGTGGGTTGCCTTTTTTTTTCCCCCCTCGAACCCAGAATCTGCGAGACAGGGCCTGGGTCTCTGCCGGGAGCAACTCCGGAAAACCCGAGAGAACGCAGGAGGGGCGCGGGAGAGGACAGTGCGGGGGGGCGCTTCGGGGTGCCTCCACAGAGCCAGCCCCGGCCCCACCTGCGAGGAGGCGGGACCTTGCGGCACTGGACCAATCAGCACCTATCTGCGCTCACCTGGCCCCCCCCACCCCCACCCTCTGGCTCCCGCGAGCCGCGGTTCTCAAAGGGACGCGCTGAGCTTAGCGGAGCACTAACCCGCAGTCGCGGCAGCTTTTCACCCCACTCTCTCCAGTCATGGGGCTCCCTAGTGGGCCTCTCGCGTCCCTCCTCCTCCGCTTCTTCCTCTTACTCCAGGTACTCCATTGCCTTGCCTGACCCCTGCCGGGACGTTCCTCAGAGGGCAGGCGGGGTCCGCACACGGCGGTGGCGTCGGGGAGAGAGCCGGACTGGGCTGCCTGGGGCCAAGGTTGTCCGGGAAAGCCTGTGAGGACTCCCCGGGATGGGTATGCAGGGCCGGGCACGCCTGTGACCCAGCCTCCCTCTTTCCCCCTCTTCCCTTAGGCACAGGTTTACTGGCTGCCGCGCGCGGCCTCCGAGCCGTGCCGGGCAGGCTTCGGGGAAGCTGAAGTGACCTTGGAGGCGCGAGGCGCGGAGCTGGAGCGGAGCCGGGCGCGGGGGAATGGTAAGACCCCCCCCACCACGGGGGCCCGCCTGGCGGAACTTCGAGGCGGGGGCTGCGCTGAGGGTGTCCGGGCTGCGGCGGGGGGCTCCTGGCGCCTCCTCAGGTGCGGGGGAGGCGTAGAAAGCATCCCCGGGGCTGGAATGGGGGTGGGCGTATGGAGAGAAAGGCCGGAGAGCGTAGCGCCCTCTGACGTCCAGCCCCTCCTTGCCCCTCTGCGGCGGCCGACCCGGACCCCCTCCTTCGGAGTGCGGGGCGGCTGAGCCGCTCACTCAGCCCGGACGTGGGAAGCTCTCCCCTGCTGGCCCCAGCGGAGGAATGCGCCTTCCACATTCCTCCCGCAACCCCCGCGCAGGTGTGGGGATGAGCCGTGCCCCGGGCAGCCCCCTTCGCCCCTCTCGGGCCCCCTTTGTGTACCGTGCTTTGTGTCTCCGACTGACAGATCAGGTCTGTTTCTCTTCTTCGCGCTCCCTTCCCCCGCCCCCCTTCTTGCATGGCAGCTGGAATGCACTCTTAACCCTGCCCTTCCCGGAGGGCCCGCGCCCCTGCAGCCTGCCTGAAAACTGGGCTTGGCACACCTGGACTGGGGCCATCACGCACTGGGCACACCCCCCGTTCCCCAGTGTATTGGAACTGAAATGTTAGGGCCCTTGAGGGAGGTGGGGGTCGAGGAGCCAGAAGGTCTTGAGCTGTAGGGGCAGTGGGTGGGGGATCAAAGTACATTTTTGATCTCACAGTTTCTTCTACGGTTTAAAAACTTGAGGGGGTGGGGTTTACTTTGGTGCTCAGAACCAGTGTGTTATGAGATCCAGGCAGCTGACGGCTGATGGGGGCGTCTCTCCCTCCATCCAGGACAGTGCGGGTTCCTCCACCGGATCAAACCCAAGTTCTTAAAGGTGTGTCCCAGGATCCTTGGGTGAGCTTCCAGAGGATCCTTAACCTGTGAAATTGTTTAAGAACTTGTATGCATTTTTCTGGGTAGGGGATCTAAAGTTTAAACATTTCAAAGCAATTTAAAAACCTGTGCCACCTAGCATTTTTCTAATGCCCCCATCAGCATACCCCTCACCCCAGGTACAAATTCCCACAGCTTGAATGTGCACGAGAGCTGCCTAGGGCGCAGAATGGCTCTCCTTTGTTTCTCCAAAAGAGGAGTGGGGGCCTTGAGTTCTGTAGAAGCCTTTATTTCTTCTTTTTCCCCCAAATAACTCTGCCTATTGAGAAAACAATTAACACCCAGGCCAGGCCAAGCTCCTTAAACTCTTGGCTGTAGGGGAGCTGAGGAGAAGCATTAAGAGGCCATGCCTCATAAACTTTAAATTCTTGCACATGGGTTTATTACTGACTGGCTAACAAACTGCAACTCAGCCAACCTGTAAAAATGTTAACTTGGGCAGGGCCCCAAATCCAATTCCGGCTCCCTGAGGAAGCTTTATTGCTAACCAGACTTCTGCCAAATCTGTACACCCTCCCCCTCATTGTCAAGTTTTCCGACTACAGTCTGGGAGAGCAGGCTGTGGCTCTGAGTGTTGTCTGTGCCTTATCTTTCTTACTGAAGCAAGAAATATCAGATTAACTGTCACTTCACTAAGCTTGAGGTTCTTGCGGGGGGAAGCAGCGATCAGGTTTTCGATTTCACGGTCCGGTTGGCAAGTGCTTCTCGGTGACGTCAGGCATTTTAAACCTTTTGAGAAAATTCTGCTTTCTCGGATGTCTGGTTTATGGCTGTGAAAATGGTGGGTTCATGCCAGGAGCACACCTAGGTTATAAAACAAAACGTGGGTTAATGTGCTTGGCTAACCTTGAGTGCAGCTCCCTGCAACGTGCCGAGTTCTTAGAGCAGTCTTCCTGTGAAATGGGATGCTGCCTTTTTAAATAAAAGCAAGTTTCTGGGGGGCTTCCCTGGTGGCGCAGTGGTTGAGAGTCCGCCTGCCGATGCAGGGGACGCAGGTTCATGCCCCGGTCCGGGAAAATCCCACATGCCGCGGAGCGGCTGGGCCCGTGAGCCATGTCCGCTGAGCCTGCGCGTCCGGAGCCTGTGCTTCGCAACGGGAGAGGCCACAACAGTGAGAGGCCCGCGTACCACAAAAAAAAAAAAAAAAAAAAAAGCAAGTTTCTGGGCCCAATTTGTCCCAATAAATTGGGACTCCCCGGCAAAAAATAGCGGTATTTCTCCCCTTAGTCCTCAGCAGCTGACCTCTTTTCTACCTCCACCCCACTTCCCTGTCCTCCATACACAGGAGCCCCAGCCTGGATCCAGCCATGTTGAAAGGGTTGTCCTGAGGGTACATACAAACTCTCAAGTTTGGCCAAGCAGACAACAGTTTCCCTATAGCTAAGGAACAGTTGCTCTTGTTCGCCCCTGGGTTATGAATTTCACAGGTGTCTATGAAGTTGAGCTCAAAGAAATTATCTGATATAGTTAATACCTTGTTTGTATGTGCACTTTCCTCTTCAAAGCATTTGCACAACTCTGAACTTGCTTTATCCTCCTGACGTTCTCTTGAAGCTGGTGATGTACATTTAAACAACTTGAGCTCTCAATCCCAGAGTTGGGACTTCAGAAACCCTGTAGCCCAGCCCTGCTGGAGGTTTTAGAGGTGGAGAAACACAGGAACAGCTTAATGGATTCAATTCCCTAGGCTAAACTAGTGAGTTTCCTTGAGGGTCACAGACATGACTTTTACCTCTAGGTTTGTGCCCAGGACCTGGTGCTTAATAGGTCCCAGTAGGTATTTGTGTGAATTATGACAGTCTTGTGAAGTTCTGCCCATTTTACAGATGAAACCTCAGTGGTTATGGCTTCCCCAAAGTCATCTCTGCAGTGACCAGATGTGACTTGAATGGAAGTTTCTGACTCCCAAGTTCCATGGCATTTTTTTTTTACCACCGGAAAGTAGGAGGTGGATGAAATGAAGAAGTGGAATGTTGGAGCACCAAATCCCACCAGTAGCAACCCCCTACCCCAAGAGCGCTTAGTCATTTATTCCTTTTCATCCTAGGGTTTTCCAGAAACATTCCTGCAGGGGAAACCAGCTTGCATACAGTCTCTTAAGTGTCCTAGTGATGGGGGCTTGGGGCAGGTGAAGCCAGGCTTGCCTAGACTAAGAGTGAGAGGTTAATCTGAAAGGAGGTAGAGCAGGAATGTTCCCCCACCCCAACTCCACAGTCTGGGGTCTGCCTTCAAGTGTGGTCTAGAAGCAAAGACAAAAGGAGAGGTGGGAGGAAGGAGCTTTCGTGGTATTAGTGCAGTGATTAAAGTGAGTGACCTAAAGTGGTCTATACATCCTTCATGGAGAACAGTTGAGAGAAGCAGCTTAATTACAGTAAAAGAAATCCAGTCCTTCATTATGGCCCCCTCTGCAGGTTCAACTCACCCTTAGTCAGCATTTGGGTAAGATTAAAGCTAACCCTCATTAGCTTTGGTAGAAAACTTCAAAGTTCAGTAATAAATCTGACTGAGCAGGAGTTAACTTCAAGATGGTTTTGCTTATTTCAACTCATGTAAAAATTGCCCTTTGTTTTGGAGCTCCCATTCCGGGCTATGCCCTCTATTTACATTTTATTTTTTCAGTAAACATATATTTAGCATCCGCATGTATCAGGCACTATTCTAGGATGGCGGCTAAAACAGTGAACAAAACTAAGACCTTGCTCTGGTGGAGCTGACTGTCTAATATTAGTTACTTTTTATGCTTATAAGAGCCTTGCGGCGCAGGTGATGGTAACTCCCACTCAGCTGTAAAACGAGGGTAAGAAACTTGGTGTGAGGTCACTGGGGCAGTCAGCAGTAAGGCCAGGGGCAGTCCATGGTGCCCAATAAATCTGCCTCTGTGGAATGAATATTTGGGAACTGGGGCTTCCAGCCCACCCAGCTGCCTTCCTGGCTTAGCAGGCGAGTAGAGTTGGTTGCCGAAGCCCGGCGTACATCACTGTTAGCTGGTGTCTGGGGAGCAGGTCTCAAACCTCTAGTCTCTCTTCTCATCTCCTCACATGGCACTCTGTTCCTAGGTTACCCGTACAGGGTGCCCTCACCTCCCTGCTGTGTGAGGAAAGCATGGCTTACCGTGAGCAATGAGTCTCTAGGAAACGATAGCTCTGCAAAGCATTTGGAGGATGATGGAGGAGGGGGAAGGACAGAAGGGCCTGTCTCCCCAAATCAGTGGAGGCTTCGGTCCTGAGGCTGAATGATCTCCATGCAAGGAACCACCGTTATTGAAGAATAACACACGTGGAAGAAAATGTCCAGATGATAAGTGTACATACAGCTCGATGAACATCACACACTTAAACACCCATGTACCTAGCACACATATCAAGAAACAGCATTATCAGCACCTCAAATGCCACTTCCCTCCCCATCTTTACCCTCCCCCAAGAAAACCACTATCTGGACTTCAAATACCATGGATTGATTTGCCTGTATTTGAACTTTATGTAAAAGAATCACACAGAATATCCTCTTGGATCTGGCTTCTTTCACTGCACATTGTGAGATTCTTGCACGGTTCTGGATGTAGTTGTGGTCGATTGTCATTCTTCTATAGTTTCCATCATGTGACCATCCACACTTCGGCTGTTGATGGGCGTTTGAGGAGTTTCCATTTTTTTGGCTATTACAGCTAGTGCTGCCGTGAACACCATTGTGCAAGGGGAACTGTGTAGGCGGATCGGTTAGGTACATCCCTGGGAGCGTAATTGCTGGGTTAACTGAGGATTACCTGGGGATCTCAGTACTGTGGCCGAGTACTGAGAAGTCAGCTTTTCTGTGTCTTGAAGTAGCTGAGTCTCTTCTGGACTCTACCTCTCCCAACAGTCTCCTTACCAGACCCATCCCTTCTGGCTTCTTGCTTCCCACCTGGCCCTGTGCTAAGAGACAGCAATTTTTTATTAGGTAGTTGGTCACATCCTTTGTTTGGGGGGAGAAGTCCTTCCCTTCATTTGTCCTTAAGCTAATGCTTGTTACTTTCCCTAAAGTAGAAAGGGAATCTGGAAAGGGCCGT